CAAGAACGAGGTCCACTACGGCCCCCACGACCACTCGTACGACCTCCTGTACGACCTCTACAACCACCACTATTACCACGGCCACCTCGGTGACCGTCACTGTAGCTACTAGGAACCACAAGAGCTAAGCGATTAGTGGAGACACCATGATCAATGCCTAAAGGAGTAGACAGAGTAGCATGCTGTAAACGAGAGAAAACCTCAAGTAGAGAGGGAATAGCCTCATAATCAGGTTTCAATCCTACTAAAAATTTAATAACATGCAATTTATCATGTTGCTTCTGCCAAACTGCTACATCAGTAGTGAACGGATGGTAGAGCTTCAACTCCTCACAGACTCTCCGAACGTGGGAATAATAATCCTCAAGACTCAAAGTACCCTGATCCAGCTGGAAGTACTGCTTGCACACCTCATAAGCACGGGTAAAATTACCTGTGCTAGAATACATAGTAGCCAAGTGATCCCAAATCTCTTTGGCAGTGTCAAGGTAAAGCAAGGTAGAACTAATACTCGGCTCAATGCTATTCAACAGTAAAGAGATAATTTAAGCATCCTCTTGTTCCCACTGATCATATCCAGAAGTATCTTTTAGGTTTAGGATTAACCAAATATTTTTTAAAACTTTTGCCTCGAAGAAAGACTTGAACGGAACGGGATCATAAAGTATAATTGGTCCTATTAAGTTTAACGAAAGTCGTATGACCATTAATAAGAACAGGAGAAGTAGGTGGAGCAATAGCATCTTGCTTAGGTTTCATAATATAGCAGATAGCAAAAAAAGGAAGCAACCTTACTGCTGGATAATTGAACGGAGCAAGAGGATGTAGCTGAACTTCTGAACAGACAAGAGAAGACCACTGGATAACTGAACCGGACTGAAAGGCCTCGCTGGATTGCTGAACCGGACTGAAAACCTTGCTGGAACGCTAAACCCGCCTGAAAATATACTGGAACCGGTCTGAACCGGTGCCAAAATAACTAAACCGGGACTAAACCGACCTGGAGTGGACTGAATCGGCCTTGAACTGATCTGGTCTAGATCGGTTTTGGTTTGGATGTTGGGCTGTAATCGACCCGCAACCACCCCAATGGACTTCGTCTTCTTCAGATTAGGGTTTCAAGAGAACCCTATACAGCAGCCACCACCACAGCAACCACACCACCACAGTAACCACCGCAGAAGACCACCAGCATCGACAATCGACTCAGTAGCCACGATCGACTCACACAACACCACAATGATTGACTCACTGGCACCACAACGATCGAGCCACGATCGACTCACACAACACCACAACGATCGAAATCTCCACCCCAGCCGTTGTACCACCACTACCACAGTGTATCACAACCACTGTGTAACACCACCACGACGCCAGAACTCTGACAACAACACAATGATACTACCTCAACAGTAACGTCACCAAACCAAGTAATTTCCACAACACAAACACAAACACAGACTAATACTAATATTTGTACCATGTTAAGTTTAGAGAATAAACTTAATATTAGAGAAAGACGGAGAGTGGTCAAAAACTTAACCTACTCTCACAAAATCACTTGTATTTATAGTTAACTCATAATATTAGAATTACACATACATTCTCTTGTATTTACACATAGTACCCTAACACTATTAACAATCTGCACACAATACCCCAATACTCTTAACAAATTGAACAATAATTTTTTGATAAAAAACGAAAAATAGAGTATTTATTGAAGAAGAAAGAGCATACCTGGTGTGAAGGAGATGTCTCAATGTGATGTTCACAGATTCTTGAACAGTAACTTGAGAGGCAAAGACGCGAACAGGAGATACTAAGAAAAACGCGAGCTTATGTTTGAGGGTGGGTCTCTTCTAGCAAAACAACGTCGATTTGACTATTATGTCGTTTTATTAGAAATAGGGTTAAAAAATAATAATAAAACGAATCATGCAATTCCTTCGATTCGATTCTCGGTCAAAAGCAATTCTATAGTAAGATACGAATTGAGTGAGGAGTAAATCGAATCACGAATTGTATGATTTTGATAACAATATATGGTATTTATGGTGGGCCATATATTTGGATTGTTCTAACTTTTGGCCATTCAACTTTAGCTCCCACTACAATTCAATTTGTTAATTTTCAAACTACCTAGTAAAATAAGCATAACGAAATTATTTTGGTCTCAACAATTCTAGGTTTTGGAATGGATTGTATAGCAATGAAATNATTTCATGCCCCGTACCAATCTTCCTCTTCGTCCTGAGATCCTGAAAGACACAATAAGAGGGATAAAAGGTTACAAAACAATTGAGATAACGAGTAATCTTACTAATGGAAAGTAAACTAAAGGAAAATTGAGAAACAAATAACACGGATGATAGAGACATATCAGGACTCAAGTGAGTAGTCCCTAGACCTGAAACTTTAGAACAAGTACCATTAGCATGAGTAACACTACGTGTGGAAGTAGCAGACTGATAAGTAAAAAAAATATCAGACACACCAGTCATGTGGTCAGAAGTGCCAGAGTCTATGATCTAAGGACTGCGGGTGGAGGACAATAAACAAGTGGAAGCAGTACCTGACTGGGTAAAAATAGCAGTGGAGGGAGATGGAACAGCCTGTTACTGGGATAGGAACTAGTCATACTTCTCTCGACCCAGTGTCTGGTGGAGCTGACTGAGGTACGGAAGCAACAACCAAGGTGTCATCCTGATAAGAAGCCTGATTAGCAGCACCAGAAGGTTTTCCATGTAAATCCTAACAGAAGTCAACAGTATGCCCTCCACGACCATAGTGAGTACAAGAACGAGGTCCACTACGGCCCCCACGACCACTCGTACGACCTCCTGTACGACCTCTACAACCACCACTATTACCACGGCCACCTCGGTGACCGTCACTGTAGCTACTAGGAACCACAAGAGCTAAGCGATTAGTGGAGACACCATGATCAATGCCTAAAGGAGTAGACAGAGTAGCATGCTGTAAACGAGAGAAAACCTCAAGTAGAGAGGGAATAGCCTCATAATCAGGTTTCAATCCTACTAAAAATTTAATAACATGCAATTTATCATGTTGCTTCTGCCAAACTGCTACATCAGTAGTGAACGGATGGTAGAGCTTCAACTCCTCACAGACTCTCCGAACGTGGGAATAATAATCCTCAAGACTCAAAGTACCCTGATCCAGCTGGAAGTACTGCTTGCACACCTCATAAGCACGGGTAAAATTACCTGTGCTAGAATACATAGTAGCCAAGTGATCCCAAATCTCTTTGGCAGTGTCAAGGTAAAGCAGGGTAGAACTAATACTCGGCTCAATGCTATTCAACAGTAAAGAGATAATTTAAGCATCCTCTTGTTCCCACTGATCATATCCAGAAGTATCTTTTAGGTTTAGGATTAACCAAATATTTTTTAAAACTTTTGCCTCGAAGAAAGACTTGAACGGAACGGAATCATAAAGTATAATTGGTCCTATTAAGTTTAACGAAAGTCGTATGACCATTAATAAGAACAGGAGAAGTAGGTGGAGCAATAACATCTTGCTTAGGTTTCATAATATAGCAGATAGCAAAAAAAGGAAGCAACCTTACTGCTGGATAATTGAACGGAGCAAGAGGATGTAGCTGAACTTCTGAACAGACAAGAGAAGACCACTGGATAACTGAACCGGACTGAAAGGCCTCGCTGGATTGCTGAACCGGACTGAAAACCTTGCTGGAATGCTAAACCCGCCTGAAGAGATACTGGAACCGGTCTGAACCGGTGCCAAAATAACTAAACCGGGACTAAACCGACCTGGAGTGGACTGAATCGGCCTTGAACTGATCTGGTCTAGATCGGTTTTGGTTTGGATGTTGGGCTGTAATCGACCCGCAACCACCCCAATGGACTTCGTCTTCTTCAGATTAGGGTTTCAAGAGAACCCTATACAGCAGCCACCACCACAGCAACCACACCACCACAGTAACCACCGCAGAAGACCACCAGCATCGACAATCGACTCAGTAGCCACGATCGACTCACACAACACCACAATGATTGACTCACTGGCACCACAACGATCGAGCCACGATCGACTCACACAACACCACAACGATCGAAATCTCCACCCCAGCCGTTGTACCACCACTACCACAGTGTATCACAACCACTGTGTAACACCACCACGACGCCAGAACTCTGACAACAACACAATGATACTACCTCAACAGTAACGTCACCAAACCAAGTAATTTCCACAACACAAACACAAACACAGACTAATACTAATATTTGTACCATGTTAAGTTTAGAGAATAAACTTAATATTAGAGAAAGACGGAGAGTGGTCAAAAACTTAACCTACTCTCACAAAATCACTTGTATTTATAGTTAACTCATAATATTAGAATTACACATACATTCTCTTGTATTTACACATAGTACCCTAACACTATTAACAATCTGCACACAATACCCCAATACTCTTAACAAATTGAACAATAATTTTTTGATAAAAAACGAAAAATAGAGTATTTATTGAAGAAGAAAGAGCATACCTGGTGTGAAGGAGATGTCTCAATGTGATGTTCACAGATTCTTGAACAGTAACTTGAGAGGCAAAGACGCGAACAGGAGATACTAAGAAAAACGCGAGCTTATGTTTGAGGGTGGGTCTCTTCTAGCAAAACAACGTCGATTTGACTATTATGTCGTTTTATTAGAAATAGGGTTAAAAAATAATAATAAAACGAATCATGCAATTCCTTCGATTCGATTCTCGGTCAAAAGCAATTCTATAGTAAGATACGAATTGAGTGAGGAGTAAATCGAATCACGAATTGTATGATTTTGATAACAATATATGGTATTTATGGTGGGCCATATATTTGGATTGTTCTAACTTTTGGCCATTCAACTTTAGCTCCCACTACAATTCAATTTGTTAATTTTCAAACTACCTAGTAAAATAAGCATAACGAAATTATTTTGGTCTCAACAATTCTAGGTTTTGGAATGGATTGTATAGCAATGAAATGGTGAGTTGTCTTTGATCATACTATGAGGCTTCTTAAATTCATTCCTGAGTGTAATATCATTAAGTTGGTTCTTGTGCTTCTGTTGAGATTATATGTTTAAGGTTATTAGTTATGAGTGGTCCCATCATATATTCCCTTTCAAAAAATAATATCACTCATTTCATATAATTCAATATAAGTAAGGACTCTCTCTTTAAAAAAAAAAAAAAGAGTGAGGGAATTGGTTCTTGTTAAAGTTTTTATTTTTGTTTGTTTGTTCTGTGAGTTTCAAACGTCCGAAACATTTTCGTTTTCAAGGAGACTGAAACGAATCAGTGATGGAATTGAAATTCTAATATTTTGAGGTGTTTTATAATGTTTTGATGTGTTTTGTAATATTTCAATGTATTTACACAATTATTTGAGAATATTTCAAGATATTTTGTAATAACTCAATCAATGTTTTGGAAATATAATTCTTAATTTTTTTATTTCTTTTCATTATATTTCCAAAACGGGTCGAAGTATTTTCGAAACACATTGAAACATTTCCGTTTCCTAGGTGGTTGAAACAATGCTCCGAAATGAAATTTTTATCTTTGTCCCCCCCCAAAAAAAAAAATTAAAATTAAAAAAAAAGATGAGAAAAGTAAGTCCAATTATGCACGTAGTTCTTGTTGAACATGTGCTCATTTCAACCTATCCGTAGCTTGTGCATGTGAAAATGTATACACATTAAAGAATTATTGAAAAGCACATACATAAACTCGTATATCATTTGTGCGCGCGTGTGTGTGTGTCATGTATTATCTGATCCTTGGAACGCTGTAATTTTTTAATTTTATTTGTTGTCAATACATTGGCCATTATGATCCTTATGTCCTCAATTTCTATGGTTTTTTCTACTACTACAGGGGAGGTGGCAATGCTGTTCAGATTGTGCAACGATACCACTTTGCATCTCATTTGAAAAGAATGTCAGTTGTCGTCCGTGTTGAGGAGCAGTTCTTTGCTTTTGTGAAGGTAAGCATTTTTCCTGGCTTTTGCCCCCATTTTGTTTTGGCTCTCTTAATAAATTTTTATTGCAAAGAAAATTTTGTTTGCTCTTTTCTTTCTCAAAAACTTCTGATTTTTGAATATATGCACATTAAAAATGTTAAGGTCAGCTCATAGCTTGGGTAGATCTGAAAACTGGTTGAGACTTTGATTTTGCGACATATGTTAGTAATTGAACGCTTGATGTTGTGTACACTGTTAGTTTGCCAGAATAATACTTTATATTTTTTTTGACTATAAAGATTATGTAAAAGTCATTCTGCAAACAATTGCATGAGCTTTTTTTCCTTCTGATATGCCTTGGGCTTATTGTTGACTTTTATCTCTAGATGATTTTACCTAAATTTGTTTGCTTCTAGCAAGGAGGAAGCTTCTGCTGTTTCTGGGAATATTTCCTTTTTTCCCTCAACTTTTCTTGAACTGTATGGATTTTTCTTCTGTAACTGTTAAATAAACCTCCTCCCCTCCTCATTTCAGGGTGCACCGGAAACCATTCAGGAAAGACTTATTGACATACCTTCATCATATGTCCAAATTTACAAGAAATACACACGTCAAGGATCTCGTGTTCTGGCCTTGGCTTTCAAGTCCCTTCCCGAAATGACAGTAAGAATCCTCTTTCAACTATACTCTATTTTTTAGTGTACAATTTTATTTTTTTTTTGGGAGGGGGAGGGGGACATAAACCCTTGAATTTAAGAAGGCAAAGTCTTTACAAAATAAGGAGTACTATTGGACCAAAGGCCATTGGTTCATATTTTTAAGTACCTTATTCAGTGTATATACTCGATCCATGTGGAAATAGCCTTCGATTTTTTTATTATATTTTGAATTGTACCTTGAATATACAAGCTTGATGTGATCTCTATATTGTTGACTCCAGGCCCCTTGTCATGAGTAACAATGTGGTAGTAGATTAAACCGAAGCAAGCAGGGGCCATGTGTTCACACACAAGCACGACAACCCCACCTCCATCACCTTTCTCTCCCACCTTTACAATCCACTAGATACATGATGCACCACCTAAAGAAGTATAGTGTCACATATGCAAAATTTATTTTCTTCTCTAGCAGCCACTTAAAATGATAGGGAATTCTTTAACCAATATTAAACAACCAGGGAGCAATCAAAATTCTCAAACCTCAAGGTGCATAGTTTATTTTTTAGCAAAACTCTAGGGTGTTGAGTGTGATTTACTTCTCTTTTCACTAAAAAATATGTAACTCTAACTGTTAAGTGTGTACAATTTTAAATTTCTGGATATGGCCATTCTCATCATCTCCTTGTACTTCTTTATTACAAAATAGAATAATTGGAAAAATTATTTGTTTGTGAAATGAGAGATGTTCGATATGATACTAAATTTAATTTGTTTCGGGCTTGCATGAATGTTGTGAGGTAAGAGACTTTGCCCCATATTTAATCCTTTATGATGATTTCACCTTGGCAAAAGAATGAAAAGAAAAATCTAACTCTCGGGTGTAAAAATTTCCTATAATATAAGAGACCATACTTTGGCAAACCCCCCCCCCCAAAAAAAAAAAAAAAACCAACCAGATTCACCACTTATTAATGATTGCCAATAAAATATATATTCAGCATTATCTACCGGCACTGTTTGGTTATTATCATGCTTTAAATTCTAACTTAGGATAGAGATTGAAAAGGTGAATTGGTTTATTGTATTTCAAATTGAAAATTTTTCCATGCAATCATGCATAATTTTCAAGGTTGAGTTGTTTCGGTGGTTATGGACGTACAATTTGTGCTTCAATTATGTGGCGTAAATCTTCATTTATATAGTAGCAATGCACCACATGCGTTGCACGTGAATAATTTTCGTATATAAAATATAATAAAAAATTTTAAGTATATGTGTATCTAAATTAAATATCATCTCAAGTTTATAAAAATTATGCTTGTACCGCTTATATTATATTATAAAATTTGAAAAATTTTGTTTGTTCCCAACAAATCATTGTTCTAATTATAAGAAAAAAAAGATAAAAATAATTCATTTTGAAATTTATTTGATTAAGTTTCAACTTATAATTCATTGAATAAAATAACAATAATTGTTAATATTCTAATTCATAGTTGTTATTATCGTACGATACGCGATACGTATCATACGATACGGAGGTAAAACGATACGGATTGTAGTTTTATATCGCTCGATATACGATACATTTTTATGATACGATATGATACATACGATACGCGCAATGCCTTTTTAATTTTTTTTTGGGATGGAACGACGTTGTTTCAATGGCTAGGGTTTACAAAAAAAATAAAATTCCCTTTTCCTCTCCTCTTCGTTGTTCGCTGCATCTGGGACCTGAGTGTTGCTTCAAACTTCACGACGACAAAGACGACGAAACACACTGCCTTCGACGACGAAACACAGCTGCTCTCGGTTCTTCACGTCGATGAAGTCTGGCACCTCTCTCTCTTCTCTCTGTTTTTACGACGACGAACCCAGTATCTCGATCGAAGCCCAATCTCCGTCTTCTCTCTGTTCTTCATCGAAGAAGGCAAGAAGGCAGCAAAATCTGAGAAGCCATCGAAACAGCCCTGGATCTGGATCTGTAGTTGCAACTACCTTCTTCTTCCTTCTCCAGCTAAACCTATGCAATGTAAGAAATCTCTTGAGTGTTTGAATTAGTGAAGTATGGTAAGAAATTTGCATTATAATATTAGTGAACTATGTTGATAACTTGAATATTTGGTGGAGTATTAATGAAATGTTATGTTTTTATGAGTGTATTTTTTTTTTCAAAGGTATATATATTTTATTATTATTTTTTTAAAATTGTACCATATTTACTATACACGACACGATACGATACGATACACTATTTTTAAAAAACGATACGCCTNGTGTGTTTTTTTTTTCAAAGGTATATATATTTTATTATTATTTTTTTAAAATTGTACCATANAAGAGTTATTTGAATATATAATTAATATTAGGTAATTAAATATATAAGGATATAGGTGCCTTTAATATTTTTTTTACAGGGACATAATAGGCAATCAAAAGTTTTTCACTTAGCTTCATTTTATTAGTGTATATATATATATATATATATGCTGTGTGGCACTTTTCTTATTTTCTGAAAATTCTGTCATTGTATGCATATAGGTTTAAGTTTATNTATTTACTATACACGACACGATACGATACGATACACTATTTTTAAAAAACGATACGCCTTTCGATACACGATTTGATAACGATGTTCTAATTCATGCTTATTTTTAAGGGTAACATAGTCAATTAAAAAGTTTCATAGATATTGATATTTATACATAAAGAATAGAGAATTAAAAAAATGTTAGGGGTAATTTAGAGATTTAAATACTAAAGATATGATGGTAATTTAACTTTAATTATAGAAGGATAATGTGGTATTTAACATTCTTTATAAGAGTAAAATAAGGAATCAAAAGTTTTTTATGCTGAGGTAATTATATTAGTAATATAGTATAGATAGATAGATATAGATATGTAAATTTATTTATTTTTTTTGTATACAAGTGCATTGCACATGGATTATTTTCAATATCAAATATATTATTGCTATAACAATTATGAAATAATGTAAACTATACAAGTAAGCTTTGCTTAAACATTTGATGTAGTGTCTAGTAAAATTTAAGTCATGGACAAATTTAGCCGCATATGAATATGTAAAATTAGAGTTTCAATAGTCTACTCCAAATTTAATATCCACCATTTCTAAAAAGATAACAAACAAAAGGATGTTTGTATTATAATAAGCTTGGAACGGTCTACCTCAAAATTCACTACCATATTTTTTATAACAAAAACAAATAACGGGTGAACACTAATTGTTTTATTATTTATTGAAAGACAAATATTAAATTACACTTCACAAGAAATGTTATATATGCTTTAAGAACATCCTAGAAAAAGAATTACTCACAAAAATCTATAATGAACATAATAAAATTTGTTTTGCCACATTCAAATGGTAAAATATATATTGTCAAGAATTAGTATTTGGTATCTTATGTCCTAAAGCAACTCAAAAAATCTAGTCGAATCATGATCCACATGATGGAAGATCTTGTTTCAATTATTTAATGCATGAAAAGAATCACGTAATTTTTTCTACATATGAGATATAATGCTAAATACGCAAAATGAGTTTCAATGCTAAACAAAAAATGAACCTATTACCACAAAAATTAAACACACAAAGTATATGATTTAGAATAAATAAAATCTCAGGACGCAATTTTTTTACCATCCACAATTGATCACGCTTGTTCATAAATAAAAAACACTTAACAAATTAAGAAGAAAATTTTTTTTGATGTTAGTGCAAACTTAACTCCAAACAAAACATAAATCATATGAAAATAACAATAACATGCAACCAGATAAAAAACGTGAGTATGAGAAAATGGGAGAGGAATAGAATAGTATTATTATTATTTTATGATTGAAATTCATGGGATTGAATATTTGACTATTACCCGTCCGCGTAACCATAAAATGGAAGATGAAATGATTCAAATTTCTTTTGATTAATTAATCTATTTATTGTTAGGAATTGGTACCGTCTGCAAAGTTACACATCAATTCATATTAGATAAATGATAAAATGAACTTTATGATGGCATAATAGTTGTATTAATGATAATCTATTATTTTTCATAAATTAAAGATGATTAATAGATTTATTGTAAACAAAAAAGTTTATGAGAAGTAAATGAAAGAAAGATATCGTCATTAACTCAGTAAATAAAAAAAAAAATAATATATGGAACAATATTATTGTGAAAATATAAGTATATGAGAAGTCATTTGAATATATAATTAATATTAGGTAATTAGAAAAAAAAAAGTGCAATATATGGAACAATAATTCTTATAGAAATGGAAGTATATGAAGAGTTATTTGAATATATAATTAATATTAGGTAATTAAATATATAAGGATATAGGTGCCTTTAATATTTTTTTACAGGGACATAATAGGCAATCAAAAGTTTTTCACTTAGCTTCATTTTATTAGTGTATATATATATATATATATGCTGTGTGGCACTTTTCTTATTTTCTGAAAATTCTGTCATTGTATGCATATAGGTTTAAGTTTATACTTCTTATTTGGTGAGTGTTTGAAGGTTAGTGAAGCTAGAAGCATGGACAGAGAAATGGTGGAGAGTGGGCTTACATTTGCTGGTTTTGCGGTAAAAAGCTGCCTTCCATTATGATATTTGTTGGTTATGCAGTTGTTTCTGATTTTGATTTGCTGGCATGGCTTCCATAATGATATTTTTGCTGTCATTTAATGCTCTTCATATGCATTTCAGGTGTTTAATTGCCCTATTAGAGGCGACTCGGCCAATGTGTTGTCCGAACTTAAAGGATCATCACATGACTTGGTGAGTAGCGCATCATCTAAGTTGATTTTACTTGTTATTGTTTTCATTTAAAATGTAGCTTTGATTTTGGCAAAATCTTCAGTTACTGTATAAGCTAGTTTGGTTAAGGGGTATTAAAATTTAATAAATTAAAAAAGAAAAAAGGAAAATGGCATTAGTTTTGCATTTTTATCGTCCAGACCTGAGAGTAGGTATGTATCTGGAGTTCTTGGTTGACTTGGTCCTTTGGGTCAATTCTCTTGGAAGTATTTGAGTCTACTTCCTTGGTTACTTGATGATAGATGTGGGAATATTACTGCTACAATCCTTAACACATTTTAATGTGTGTCTTGTCCTATCCTCATATTTCCTTGTGAATGCATTATATTTATATATATTAAATACATAATATTTAACATATCCTCAAATGTGTCCGTTTCCTATTTTTTTTTAAAAAATTCGTATTCGTGTCGTGTTGTGTTTCATCCATGTCTCGTGTCCGTGTTCATTCTTCTTAGGTTTTCATGCAAATCTCATTTCGATTCCTTGACTAATGATACGACTATCCCAATGTTTTATCCATCTTTGAAGATTTGGAAGGTTAATGTGCTTTTGAAAGTGCAAGTTTGTGCATGGGTGATTACTCATGGGAAAATAAACACCAATGATATGATCAAAAAAAGACATCCTTATCTTTGTCTATGTCCACAATGGTGTGTTATGTGAAAGCGTGATTGTGAGAATGCGAGCCACTTACTTTTTGATTGCCCGATTGCTTGGAAGCTAATGAATAAATTGTTTGTGTTGGCGGCGGGGATTTCTTGGGTGGCTCCAAGTTCTATATCGACAATGTTTTGTGTTGACTATGAATGTTTGGAAGAAGTAAAGGAGTTGAATGTGCAATTTTTGTTACTATATGGATGATTTGGTTGGAGAGAAATGCAAGAATTTTTAAAATAAGTACAATGTAGTTGATGGTTTCTACTTTTTAGCAACTATTTGGGCATCGGTCTCATCAAAGGATTTTGCAACTATACCTCTTTTAGGAATCTTGGCGAGTTGGCACATGGCTTGTAAATGATTACCTAAATGATTTTATTTTTTTTGGTTCTTTTCTTATTTTAAGTAGTGTCTTTGTTGTCATATTAAGGATCCTTTTGTACTACATCTTTCTTTTTCATTAATATAATTTTGTTTCCTATCAAAAAAATGAAAAATACAAACAATGAATTTGTACAAATGCATAATTCTAGTAAATGAGGTTTTATGCATATGGTTGGATGGGGAAGATAAACTTCCACAGAAAAGCACTAGTAGGTTGGGAGGACAGCAGTATGAAATTAAATTATTGAATAGGGAAGCATGAGCAAGAATGAGGATGACACTTGGTGGATGGACAGTGTGTAAAAAAGTGAATGTTGTGCTAAGATAATGTAACAAAACAAGGTATACAAAGGATGCTTTTGGACTTGGATGATAACACCACCAGCCTTTATGCTAAAGACGAATCATAAAAAGCACGCCAAAACAAGGTAAAGGTTTGGTGCATTTAGTGGAAGATGATGAGTAAAACCATTATGTTGAGGCAAAAATAAATAGAATAACTAGAAGATATGGGTTGAACCCCTCCTCCTCCTCCCCCTCTCCCCCCC